GCAGACATAGTTGGGTATCTGTTGATGAAAATACTCTGGTCTTACTAAAGACTAAAAGCCAGACTTTTCAAAGTCATGACTCACAGGAAGAAAGATTTTTGATAGATAGATGAATAGAGAAATAGATGACAGTATTTGTCAATAGTTCAAGTTATATGGATCCCAGCTCTACTACCTTCCCGATTTGTCTGTAATAAATCAATGAGATGACTTGCAAAGTTGAAATGATTGCTCTTGACATAATTTACAGCTTTTACTCATAGAAGTCACTTTTTTTTTTCTTTTGGAGATGGAGTTTCGCTCTTGTTGCCCAGGCTGGAGTGCAATGGCGTGATCCTGGCTCAACACAACCTCTGCAGTTCTCCTGCCTCAGCCTCCCAAGTAGCTGGGATTACAGGCATGTGCCACCACACCTGGCTAATTTTGTGTTTTTAGTAGAGACAGGGCTTCTCCATGTTGATCAGGCTGGTCTTGAACTCCTGATCTCAGGTAATGTGCCTGCCTTGGCCTCCCAAAGTGCTCAAGTTACAGGTGTGAGCCACTGTGCCCGGCCAGAAGTCACTTTTTTTTTTTGAGACAGGGTCTGGCTCTGTTGTCCAGGCTGAAGTGCAGTGGCACGATCGCAGCTCACTATAACCTCTGCCTCCTGGGCTCAAGCCACTCTCACACTGCAGCCTCTCGAATAGCTGGAACTACAGGTGCATGCCACCATGCCTGGCTAATTTTTGTATATTTTTGTAGAGATGGGATTTCACCATGTTACCCAAGCTTGGTCTTGAACCCTTGAGCTCAAGCTATCTACCTGCCTCTGCCTCCTCAAGTGCTAGAATTACAAGCATGCCATGCCAGAAGTCACTTTTATTAAAGAAAAATATATAAAAATCATGCCTTCTTAGTGTAAATGGCATCATGATGGACTAGTGAAGATGCTATAGTCATTTCCACATTTGCCTTTCTAACAAATAAAGACTGGTTTAAGCAGACAATCTGTTAATATCTCTTTATGAAGCCCTCTCTCTTCCTCACGATGTTTGACAAGCCTTCGAGTGACTGCTGGTATCCACGTTTCCACTCACTAGTGGTGGAAGATAAGGGAATGAGGGTGGTATTTTAACAAAGGGACAGTGCTAAAAATAGTCCAAATCCATTCTGTCAAGGTGACTATATTATCAAAATTTATTTTTTCTTCATTTTAGAGCTCTGCCTTCCATGCCTTTCTGACATCCCGTAGCACAATATGGAACATGGAAACTGACTTGTTAGCAGGTCCATAAACAGCAGTTAGTACTACAAACAACTGAGGGTAGCTCAGGGACTCTATTGTAGTTACACAGGTAGAAAAAGACATGGACAATGGTAAAGTTTTTCTACATCTTAATTTATTTCATTAAAAAGCTTTATACAATACATGCATGTATGCATGTATGCATGCATGCACATACATGTGCGCGTGCACACACACACACACACACACACACACCCCTCAAGCACCTGGCTTAAGAAATAATATGTTATTGATAACTTAAAAATCTCTGTGTACCCCTCCTTCATCTTACCTCCAAACTGCATCTCTAGAGGTAACCACCATCTGATTTTCTTTTTATCATTCTTTGAAATTTCTTTGGAGTTTTACTACATATTTTTTTCCCCAAATAATGTATTGCTTAGTTTTACATTTTTGAACTTTATACAAATGTATGTATTTTAGGTGACTTGATGTTTATCTCTCACAATGAGGTGTCTGTGACTCGTTTCATGAGCACTTTCTCCGCTCTGGAAAATTTCATAAGGTGAAGAGATCACCATTTAGGTAGATGGGCCATTTGTGACGTTTCTACTTTCTATGTCATTGTAAAAGATGCTGCTACAAAAATTCTTCTACATATCAAATTGTATGCACGTGTAATAGTTTATCCAGATGAAAGTGAAGTTTTAGAATATGTGCATTTTCAGCAATACAGGTATTTTCAGATTATAATCTAAAGTGAGCATATCAATTGATAATTCCACCAGCAAAGCATGGAGCTTCCTGATATTCCACCTCTCATTAACACTTGACATGCTCAAAATGGTCACTTACACAGAAAATGAATCCTGGCTGACTGACCACATACATTCACTACAGAATCACATAGTGCTTCTGAGAGTCAGACCCTGAGTAACAGTTACTTAAAAGAAAGTGGCCCCATCTGAAGGCTGGAAAAAGACAGTGTTTGTATTCATAAGATGGCAAGCAGAAGTTTTAAAAATAATTCTGTTGATGCTTACAATTTAGACCTCCATTTTTCTGGTAAGAAATTTCCCAATAATGTTCTGAACATCATGTCAAAACATTTGTGTCAAACTGCTGTGTTCTGCCAAAGAGGTAAATTTTCCAGTCAAAGCAATTAATTAGAAGATATTCATAATGTCTTTCAAGATTAAGAAGTCATCATAAGTGTAGAGAGAAACTGAAGGGAAAAAAAATCACCCAAATCAGGATGCAGGAGACAAGCTAATTTGTTGATCTCCATTTGAGAATTTTGCTCTTCTGTCATCATTTCTCCAACTCTAAATCACTCAATTAATAGACCATAAAGAGGCTTCAGGTTTATGAAGGGCTTAAATCTCAAACACAATTCTTGCTTCTCTTTTTAATATATTTAGTCTTTGTGATTCTTTATTCTTATTACAAAAATAGTTTGGGTGCTGAAAATCATCATAGTATCAGTAGATCACAAATTGCTAGTTTAGTCAGCTCTAGACCATCTTGTAATCATTAGGTAAGGAAGTTCATTGGTAAAATACTTAAATTCCTGAGACATAAATTATTTGCAAAAACATTTCTCAACTTCTTTCAAACCAAGACTATATATACATACACCATATCTATCTATCTATCTATCTATCTATCTATCTATCTATCTATCTATCTATCTATCCATCCATCCATCCATCCTTCTATCTGTCTATCCATCTCCAAAAGGCAGTGCCCAAATGTCAGGATGGGGCTTATAATTTTAAATGACTAGGGATTGTTGGTCCTGAAGGGATCAGTGGGAGAGAGAATACAGTGTTAGAGGATGCATTTCTCACCAGTTCTAGAGAAAAAGGTCATACTCTACTGACGGTTGGCTCATGAGGTCATCCTTCCCCAGAAGGAAGAGCATGTTAGACTTTGGTCAACAAAGACTTCAATTGAGACAGTCAGAGAGTGACCAAGGGGATATACCATCTCTGGGCAGTTGTGAATGCCACTCTGTGAAAAACAGGAGGGAGAGCCAGCAGCAGCCTCCCTCATGGCTTTGTAGACACTTCGCTAGAAAATATTCTGTTATCTCACTGGAAACTTGCCAGATCATAATACACACATCTAAACATTATTAACACTCAATTAGAATAAATACACATAATCAGGAATATATCCATCCATACTTTGAATTTCTTAAATTCATATTTCTCAAAGGCTGGCTACATGTTTCATCCTTCAAAAAAAAATCAAAAGCTTCAGCTTGCAGCCTCTGTAACTAAGCCTATTATTGAGTTTTACTTATTAAATTAATTTACACTTATTTTACAACAAACTGCATCTACTCAAGGAAATATGGAATGCATATTCATTTTCTATACTTATTCTTATTTTACTGACAGTCCTCAGGTGATATATTTCCTCTTGCTATTCTACCTAGGTAATTCCTTATAAATTCTTTTTTGGGGCTCTAGTTTCTTTAGTATCTAAACCATTGTTGAGATTCAATGTAAAGATATTATTTTAAACATTAGAATCATATGCCCTTTATATTGTTAAATAAGCCCTTGTAAATTATTTCCTTCAGTGCCTTCCTGCAAATAACCTGTCTGTATGCTCAAATAAATGTTTAGGAAATTAACAATTGAAAATGGGTTATTATGGATTTTACTGACAGTTCAATAGAGAAACATTTTTAAGGGTACACACAATCTTTATGCTTGGATGTAAATATTGAGGAGATCAAAGTGTCAAAAAAAAAAAAAAAGAAGCATTGCAGGACAGTACCAATAGTTAAGAAAAATACTGTGGCTCTTTTGCACAGCCCTGCAATAGAAAAGTAGTGTTTGGGAATAATCCTTGTACAAATATACCTTATTTGAGTGACATAATAATACCAGATTCCTGTTACGTATTATTTTTAACTTTACTTCTTTAAGTAATTATCTTTCATTTTATTTGTAGGACTGATCTCACAAGTGCCTTAAACGTCAAGAAAGAACTTAAACAAAAGCAGACATCCTCTACCCAGGAAATATTCAATGTTTAAGTAGTGGAATGTAGAATTATCTCTTACATCCAAGGTATAGAGATGTTATCCTCAAGAAAGGCCCAAAAGTAGATTCATGATTGATCATATTCATAAGCCCAAGGCAATGCATGGTATGAAATTACAAAGATAAGAGGTAACAAAAGAAATTCTCTGCAAGAATCTATACTTGGTATTCACTAGTGCTTCCTGATCCAGTAAAACAGGTGTCAGCAAAGGGCTCTTCTTTTACCATGAAGGAATTAGGCCACATTGACACGTGATGATAAAGAAGAAGTGCCAGGTGCTGATGTCCTGAACAATAACTTGTCTCTACTCGCAGGTCCATGAAGACTGTCATCTTGACTCCCTAGAGGATTATAACCTCTAAATGGATTGTTTCATGAGTATTTATCATCCTTAAAACCCTCATCAGAAATACCAAATGATCATAGTTGCAACGCGCCTGCTTTTGCACCATTGATACTAAAATCTTCTCTGCTTTACTGTTGACAAGTATTAACATTAATTTTCCAACTACATAGAAAGGTTTAAAATCCTGTCTTTTCTCACACAAAGCAAGGAAAAGAAAGCCAGAATTATGCTTTGATATTTAGCTGATTTCTCTAAGAGCAAGGACCACCAATTAAGAATTTTTACCTTGATTTTTTTTTGTAAACATTGGTTTTAAAAAACAGAGTAAATAAGGAAGACCAACTAGAAAGACAGCACATTTTCAATTACCTTGGAAACTCGGTTTGCAACTTCTCTGCCCACAGTCAGCCCCTGGACAAAGGTCCTGGCAGCAATGAAGGCGCGGGTGACCTGAATCTTCAGTTTCCGGGGCACGTCTCCAAATGGCTTGAGCTGGTCAGTGTATTTGCTCACGCATTCCAGGTAGTCTTCACTGAAGTGATACTGAGGGTTTATCAGCTGAAACATTCGTTCCAGGAGCCGAGCCCAAAAGTCATTGAGCATTTCTTCCAGATTCACATTACCGCCAGTGTAGTACCTTTTCAGCTCTGTGAAGAGGTCCTGAAAGACTTCCGAATTCTGCATGTACAGCATGCCATAAGTCCGTACAAACATATCATTTAGTGACTTTTCTGCATTCTCCAGGAGCTCTCGGAAAAATTCTGCAGATAGAAAGAAGTCATAAATTAATGAAATCTAGAAAGCCCAAGGCACCTACTTACCTTAAGTACAACTGCTTTTAATCGACATTTTCATGGAAAAACGTATTCTGTGATTAAGGTGTTAATGGACAGATAAAAATCATATTCTCAATGGGATTTGACCTCCATCTACGATCCTGTATGACTCAAAACAGAATACCCATGATTTCCATTAACATTAGGAGTCTACCATGTAATCCTCTTCCAAAATAGCTTCATTCTTTTACCATCTCTTGTTAAATTTTAAATAATCCTATGGTTTGATACAAACTCAAATCAAAATATGCTATAAATATAATGTGCAGAGTATTGTTGTTTACATAATGATAAACACATTTGCTTCAGTTTATTTATAAATTTGTCCTAACACTAAATTCCATTAAATTGCTTTTATTTGAAATACTCCATAAATGAGATGTTCAAATTAATGTCATATTTTAGACTCTTTCTAGTTTCTATATATAGCAATCAATTAGCAATGTTCAGATATTCATAATGCAATTAAATTCACTTCATAATAAAGCTATAATGAGCATAATTTAGGTGGCCATAATGAGTCAGAAAGCCATAAAGTATCTTGGATCATTACAAATATAAACTATCATGTTATAGAACTTGAATAAAATATTGACAGTTGGACTTTCTGGTTGTGTGGTTCTAAATAAAAAAAATGCACACCAGTAATTCAAATCTTCCACTTTGCAAGAGTGCTTGAATGTTACTGGGATCATTTATAGGATGCAAAAAAATAAGACATAAATTAAAGCCATTGGGTATCATTAGCTTCAATGGCCCTCATGCTAGGCTCCCTCAAGACACACTTCGTGTGTGTAGGGCACCTATCCTTTTGCACAAATAAGCTTGGGTTTTATCTCATTTAGAGATTGTAAATTGGGGTAGGGAAAGAGCTAAGGAAAGATAATGCTTCTGAGGTTATCAATCTAAGTTCCTAAGAGCAAAATGATTCTGCTTTATCTCTTCATAGTCCCCTTTTATTCCCTGAAACTATGCCCCTTCTCAGAAATGCAGGGACAAATCAAGTCCTGCATACTTCAAAAGCTCCAGGAATTTTTAAAAAGGACTCTGCTCCTTTCTGGGGTTCTGGGTAGTCTCTCCTAAGATAAAGAAAGGAAATAGTGATGAACACCTCTCCATTAATTCCATGGAGGCTACTTGTGTATTCTTAAAAGTTGGCTGAAGAAGTGCTTGGTTTAGCCACTTCAATTCTGATTAATATACAATCAAACCAATGTCTTGATAATTAAATGGTGTCTATAATAATAATAATAAGTACTTTATATTTGTTTTTAAATCAAACCAAAGCATGAATGAAAGTATTTTTCATTTGTTTACCTCCTTTCTATGAAATATATATACATATATATATTTTAAAACATACAACTTCTGTTGCTACAGTGGCAGCAAAAACTGTAAGATTATAAATAGTGTATAATTTTGTTCAGGTCACCAAATGGTTTTTATTTTTATTTTTACTAACTGTAAAATCAAGGTAAATATTATCAAATCTCTCTGAATCTTTAAGGATTTGGTAAAGAAAATGACTGTTGAAATAGATAGGGCAACATTTGCAAAATTGGGAAGCATAAATTTATAAAAATATTTATATATGCTGTATGCTGATGTTACTTATGATTTTAGGAAATCAAGAGCATTTCATACTTTTTTCAAAAATACTAGTTATCTAGTTTGTCCTAAAATGGAAACTATATTAAATTACTAATATAAAAGTATGAGAATATCATAAGTTAAACCTTCCGATCTGGAAACTAAGAATGAAAGTAGCTTGACCTTGCTGATACAGGAACAGGGTGGAAGGCATAACAGATTGTGAAAGAAGATAAAAAAGAATGGAAAAATCACTGAATTGAGAAATACTAATATAATGAGACTGGAAAGTGGATTCTAATCATGAGCTCTGGACAGCCTATTCATTTATCTTCTTTTTGAGGTCAATTATTTTGTTGGACTTGGGAATTAAAGCTTAATTTATTGAATACAGAGTACTGCCTTCAGCAATGAATAGTCAGTAATCAATAGTGTGGTCTGGATTTGCAAAGAGCTTTAAAAAAAGAGAAAGAGAAGAAAAAAATTTCTCTGATACTCATTGCTCTCCAAAGTCTTGAGAAATAAATATTTGTGTTAGGGATAAAAATGGCATTTTCTCTTTTACTGAGGGTAACACCTCCCTAGATTTTTTTGTCTTCTTTTTCTTCTCCTGATATGAGAACTCCAAATATTGAGTCATGCCCACTTTGAAAGTGAGTCGTCACTGTGTCTTGTGGTTTTTCTTACGTTTAAATTAGTATTTATGATTCAGTATAGAAACCAAGTTATCACATTTCAATAAATGTGGCTCAAGAAACATTTCCACAGATTCCAAGCTTACATTGTGTCTTAGAGTATGTCATTGTCTCAAAAGTTTGATATTAGCTTCACTGATCCTCAAAGTCAAGTTATTATTATTTCTTGTTCAAAATCATTATATGGTTTACTGATTTCATAGTCAAAGTTAATATTTGGTATTGAAAGACGCTAATGTATCAGCCAATTATGATAAATGTTGCTACCTTAAGGTACATTGATCTAAGATCTTATGAATAATGGAGATCCAAGGTACTGAGGCAAAGCTAATGTCCTCCAAAAATAAGGGTACTCATTTCATTTTCAGCATGACTGTAGACTTCCACCTTTTGAAGTCTGACTCTTTGAACAAATTACTTTATGCTTGGATGAAAATTGTTTCTCAGCAAACCAAACAAGATGGAGATTTAGAAGACAGTTATGTGATCCATTTTACTGATGAAGTATCATGTGCAAGCAACATCAGAGAGAACAAAATTCAAGGACAATATAAGAAAAAGCAATCTCAACTGAACTCATTTTAATGGAAGAGGGCAAAGCACACATTGGATAAAGTCTTCAGTCAACAAAAATTTTTATCTGCAAAAAAGAGTTTGGCAGAAAGAAATGCTATTTGATTTTTCCTTCTTCCCCAATCACAAAATATACATCAAAGGTGGTTGCTTAGGGCTCAGTTACGCTTCATAGGTGCATAAAAAACCTTTCCTAGCCAGCATTGGCCTCTGGGATGATTTTATTCATCTAGAGGGGAGATCTCAATGTAAACATCTGTTTGCTTCAGGGCAGACTGTCTCAAGTGGGAGAACAGTCTTGTAGATAAAAACTACTACTGTTGCAAAAGGAAAAAGAAAGTCTGTGTGATGTGGCCTGATCACTTGGAGAGATCTCTTAAGGGGCAGAAACCAACCCCAAGGAGCCAAGAGGTGCCCTAAGGATAACTGAGAAAGACTCCAAATGAAGCCCCCAAATAAATGGACTGAAAAGTAAGATGGCACAGAGGGACAAGGGGAAGCACAGAAAGAGGAAAAAGGCAGACGAGAGGCTCTCTACAGTCTACATCACACAACAAAAGCTTGTCCCATTCAACTCAGAAATGTCTTGTTAATACTACACAGATAAACATGTTCTGTGCTGGATTAGGTACGGGATTGGATTAAGTACTATATAACATCCTTTTCCTCTTTTCATGCTCTCAGAGACATCTCCTATGAAAAACTTGTTTAAAATGAATGTCGCAGCATGGTGGTGTGTATCTATATCCTTTCAGAACCCAAGGAGTGAAAAGCTTTGGTCATTAGTCAGTCAAGATGATAGCACTTGTCCTACTGTGGGAAGCAGGTATGCTGTTTCCTTCCGTAAACCCGGAAATACACACATGTGCATGCAAGGGTGTACATTTGTATAGTTCTCTGCTAATCTCTTTGTTTCTACTCTTCCTCAACAACAGTATGCTAAATCAGTTTAGTCAGCTCAGCCAAACTGTGGGTAAGGAGTATTCCATAGGCGGCGCTGACATGGAGGATAAACTGGTTCTGAAAGCTGACATCCAGCCGGGTGCAGTGGCTCACGCCTGTAATCCCAGTACTTTGGGAGGTCGAGATGGGCAGATCACCTGAGGACAGGAGTTCGAGACCAGCCTGGAAAACATGGTGAAACCCTGTCTCCACTACAAATACAAAAGTTAGTCTGGCATGGTGGCGGGCATCTGTAGTCCCTAGCTACTCAGGAGGCTGAGGCAGGAAAATCACCTGAACCCAGGAAGTGGAGGTTGCAGTGAGCTGAGATCCTGCTGCTGCACTTCAGCCTACGGGACAAAGCAAGATCCACTCCCCCCAAAAATAATAATAATAACAATGAAAATTATAAAATAAAAAAATAAAAGATGAAAGCTGACATCCTATAAGGGTTGTGATCTACAGACACTCAATAAACTTCCTAGCCTGCTTCTCCTCCTGCATTTCTCAAGGGAAATGAGGAGTATTCTTTCTCATTCCACATACATATGTCAGCTTTCAGACATATCTTTTGAAATCATTTCTCCTTTCAAAAAGCATCTTGCTTATGTAATAGCCTGATATAATCTGCAGGAAAATGCTGAATTAATAAAGAGCATTAATGAAGGCAGACCCATAGTGCCATTTATACTCTTGTGCATTAGACTGTGGGGGAGGGAAAACATGGTCCCAAATGGCCTATCTCTTCCCACTTCCCAGGGGCTGTGACCTTGAAAGTAAGTAGCAGTAAAGATGGACAATGCTCAGGATGTCTGTCCTTGCCACATGAGGCGGTGTCCTTTGCAAGCTGTAGCTTGTGTGTTATTGAGCAGTAGATGACCCTAGTCTATCTTAGGTGTCAGCTTCAGCACTGTGAACATTTTGAGCTGGATAATTCTTTCTTTGGACAGGGGTTTGGGGAGCACTGTGCTGTATATTGTAAATTATAAAGTAGCATTCCTGGCCTCTACCTTTTAGATGCCAGTGGCACATCCATCTCTCAGGAGTCACAACCAAAATGTCATCGAACATTATCAAATGTCCTCTTGGGGACGAGACCACTCTTACTCCCTTCCTTACCCCCAC